GCTGGTTTGTCTCGGGAAGCAGTGTTACAGGGAGTCGTTTTCGTTGACGGCCGGGGTTACGTTCGCCGGAGCTCTGATTTCGCTGATTTTGGTGGTGAGGACTCGCGAGTTTTACAGAGGGGACATTTACAAGAAGTTCAGAGACGATGAGAAGAACGAGGAGACCCAAACCTGACAGTTCCGGTTTCTTAGTGGGCCGGCCCAACTCAGAATATATATATTTTTTAATTTTCTTTTTATATTCGTCTGTATTTGTCGTAGTTTCTACTCTCCATATCAAAACTTCATCATTTGAATACATATATATATATATATATATAAATAATATATATATATGTGTATGGCAAACGTGAACTTTACTACTTAATCTATGTAATCTATGACATTTTTGGTAGGTAGCCAAGTAATCAAATATGAGTTTAACTCAACGATAATTGACACCTGTTTATAACCAAGAAAAAAGTCATGAGTTCGAATTTCTCTACTCCTATCTCTTGTACTAAAAAAAAATAAAAACTGCATTTAGATTATCGTTTTATCTGGTTGTTAAAATATTTTAATAGAAAAATATTAACATTCGATAAAATAGTTAGAAGTTAGAATGCAACATAATTTGTTGGTTTCGAATTCAACATTTGTATGTACTAAAAATTAAAATTTTACATTGTAGAAAGGGAAATTTTCATTGGAACTACTTCAAATAACACATATAATGTGTGTTGAATGAAGGGGAGAGTAGGACCATTAATAGGTTTCTTTATCCATATTATAATTTTTATATTAGATTATAATTTAAGATTAGGGGATAATTAATTATTTTTAATTTTTGCACATTTATTTATCATTTAGTATTAATATTTGAATGGAAGTGTAAAATTATAGCCCACATACCAAAGTGAGATTGATAGCCTCGACAGATTCAAAATGATGTTTGAGTTGATCACCGCCGCACCTCTACTATGTTGCCCACCTTCTGCTCCCTCATCATCGCCTCTAGATTATGAAAGTTCTCTGAACCAAGATGCAATGAGGATGAAGAGTATCCCAAGAAATCGCACGTGGGTGACCTCTCAAATTTTGTGCTTTTGATAACTCTTCAAAATGCCCTGATGATGAAGCTATGAACCATACATAACAATGTTGCATTTGATTTTGTTAATTGCAACAGCACTATCGACATCCAACATTGACATCCTCAACACCCAACCATCGTCCACCATCACAAAAACCAGCAAGAAAGAAGGATCCTCCTTGGAAATCGTCTCCATAATAATAAGAGAAATCCCTATTATATCTCGATCCATGCTACTTCTTCAAAAAAACCCATGGAAGAACTGAAATAGACTCTAAAAAGAACTCAATCGGAAGACTGAGAGAAAACACACACCATTCACATAGAGAAGGAGTGTGATGAAGCAGGCCACTGACCACTGCGCACCCCTTCCCCACTTTTTTCTCTAACTTCTTTGAAAAATATTGGAAATGATCAAACTAATGAACCAACATTAAACGAATTACTCTCTCATGATCATCAATTAGCAACAAATCATGCTCAATTAGCATGATGATTACTGCCAATATCATGGGTCAAATTCCACCTGCTATGGAAGGAATATCACACCTCATAACAAAATCTATTTCAAATACCATGAGATTTCCCTTAGTGAGCCATCTTTGAGAATTTCCTTAAAAAGCAATTCTTCCCGTTTCTTTGTCAATATAACATTACTTCCTTGGACAACTTGCATCAGACAGTAATGCTTCCTTATTGTATCGGTTTCTATTTTATTAGTTTTCTTTCCTAGTAAGTCTTTTGTGCAAATGTCTATATTTATTCATTGTTTTTCTTTGACAGAGGGTAATTGGAATCAATTGAGTTCCTTTGCAGCAACTTGTTTGTTTTATTTTATTGTATCAGAGCTATTTTGCACAAAAGAAAAGAAGTAAACACTTGCTGGAAATCAAGTCTACTCATGGCCAAAACTGAAATTAAGTTGTCTATTCAAACATTTCACCAATTCTCAAGTTTGATTTCAATCAAACTCAACTCCACAAACTACCTTCTGTGGAAATCTTAGATCTTGCCTCCCATAAGAAACTTGGGAATTGAGCATCATCTACATGGAGATCAGCCACCAAAAGCAAATATTGTGGAAGGAAATGATGAACTTGCTTCCAACACTCAACATTGGATAAACAATGATGGTCTCCTTACTTCATGGATGTTAGGAACCATATCTGAAGAGGTACTCTCAATGATAGAAAGTTGTGAGATTGCACATCAAATTTGGAAGTCACTCGAGGAGCAGCTGGTTACCCTGACGAAAGAAAACGAACTACATCTAAATGAGATGTTGATCAACTTGAAGAAAGGAAATCAGAAAATGGAAGACTACATAAAGAAATTTAATTCAATCAGTGACAAACTATCTACCATGAAAACACCCTTGGATGATACTACAAAGGTATTCCACTTAGCAAGAGGATTGGGAGGTAAGTATAAAGATTTTAGAGTTGCAATGTTATCAAAACCACCATATCCCTCTTATAATCAATTTGTAATTGCATTGAGAAATCACGAGATTCAACTATGTTTTGATCTAGAGGAAGAAAAAATGTCTCAAATAGATCATAATCAAGCCTTCCTTGGACAAAGAGGTAGATTTAGAGGAAGAAGAGGAAGAAATTTCAGTTCAAGGGGAAAGGAAGAGGGAGCTTCCAACAACATACCAATTACTCTCTTTAATGCAGACCATTCTCCTCGAAAGATTCAGACATATCCTCCTTAACAACGAAACAAGTCCAAGGATAGAAAAATTCAATGTCAGATATGTGGAAAAGATAACCACTCAGCATTAGAGTGTTGGAATAGATTTGATAAATCTTATTAATCCGAGGAAATTCCCAAGTCCTTTACTACTCTAAGCTTCGATGAACAAATTGATCGAGTCTTGTTTGCAGATTCAGGAGCCTCTGCCCATGCCATGAATGATACAGGTAAGCTCACAATTTAAAATTTACAATGACAGTGAACAAATTATATATTGGAGATGGTAAAGGTCTTGACATAACTCACATTGGAAATGACTCTATTAATGCTAGTTTAAACAAGCTTAAACTAAATAATGTGCTCGTTGTTCCTGAAATTAAAAAACATTTGCTGTCTATGAGTAAATTAGCTTTAGACAACAATTGCTCCATCATTTTTAATGCTAATGGTTTTGTGATTAAGAATCAATAGGGACAGATTCTGGGCAAAGGAATTAAACGAGAAGGCCTCTATGCCTTAGTGAGGAAAATCAAGAAGCCTTCCCAGCCTTTATAACCACTACAAACAATAATAAGGCCTCTTATTCTTTGTGGTATAAGAGAATGGGACAATCCAATGATCTTTATCTTAAGTATCTTAGTGATTCTCATCTTTTGAAATTGTCTAATTGGAAAGACCAAACTCTATTTGTGATTGTTGTCAAATGAGTAGAAACAACAACTTATCTTTTAAATCTAGCAATAAAATAAACATTTTTCCTTTAGAGAAGATTCATTGTGACTTGTGGGATCCTCTCCTATTGCTTCATGTCAAAATTTCAAGTATTATGTTAGCTTTGTTGATGACTTCTCTAGATTTTGTTGGTTGTATCCTTTAAAGAAAAAATCAGATTTCCTCTCTTGCTTTGTTAAATTTCAAAGACTTGTTGAAAATCATTTGGAAAGAAAGATTAAGTACTTCCAAAGTGATGGTGGTGGTGAATTCACCTCATTCAAGGAAATTCTTGAACAACAAGGCATTTTTCACCAATTTTCTTGTCCTCACACTCCTCAACAAAATGGAGTTGTGGAAAGGAAGCATAGACATATTGTAGAAACTGCGTTAACTCTCCTATTTCGCCCTTAAATTATTGGGTTGATGCTTTTTTTACTGCTATCTTTCTCATAAATAGAATGCCATCAAAATCCATTAACACACAAACTCCCTTTTTTAAACTTTTTGGAAAAGAACCTGATTATAGTGGAATTAAAGTCTTTGACCGCAAATGTTTCCCTTACTTAAGAGATTACAACAAAAGCAAATTATCAAAGAGAACCTATCCTTACATTTTTATGGGTTATAGTCCTATCTATAAAGGGTATAGATGTTTAGATGCTTCATCTAATGGAATTTACAAATCAAGACATGTAATATTTGATGAAAGCAAGTTCCCATTTGAAAAACAAATCAAAACTAACAAAAATAAAACTAACAAAAATAAAGAAGAAAACTCTTTAGTTGTTTCTAAATGTACAGGATTTGAAGATTGGTTTCACGCCAACAATAAAAGGGGAGGATCAGCCATCAACACCAATACAAAAAGCAAGGAGATGAACCAATTAAACCACAAAAGAAATCAATACAAACTGATTGAAGAGCCAACACCAGATGTTACTCAAGATGGAGAAGAACAAAACATATGGCCACCTATACCTACTGATTGCTCACAAGAGGAGCAATCCACCCCTTCATCCAGACAACAAAATATAGATGGTCCAAGAACTCCCTCCACTGCCATCACCAATAACCAACATGAGATTTTTGCATCTGGAAACACTCCGAATAATGAGGAAAACCCTAGTCATATACCTCAAAGCAGATTTTAAACAAACAACAGGTATCTCAATTGCCAGATATAAATAAAAATTTAACTATTGACATTTTTCCATCTCTTGCAGACACAAACGCAACAAATCAGTCAAACTCCAGGCAAGAACAACCACAAAATAGAAGTCAAGCAATTGGAAAAATAGCTTTCAAGGATCAAGCCTCATCAATACATTCTATGTTCACAAGAAGTAGACTTAGAGAAAATCTCCATCCGAAAGAAATTGAACCTTTGGACAAGGAGAACCAAATAAGCCACAAAGCTTTCCTAGCTCTTGATCCTACCAGTGAACTAAAAAACTACAAAGCAGCCCTAAAAATTCCTCATGGAGGAAGAAATGAAGGCCTTCATACAAAATCACACATAGGAACTAGTTGATCCTCCTCAATCCACCAACATAATTGGATCAAAATGGATATTCAAGACAAAATTTAAGGAGGATGGATCCATAGAAAGATACAAGGCACGTCTTGTAGTCCAAGGATATTCTCAAGTAGAAGGAGTAGATTACGAAGAAACCTTTAGTCCAGTAGTCAAACCAACGATCATTAGACTAATCATAACCATAGCTATTACTGCTAGATGGGACTTGAGACAACTCAATGTCAAAAATGCCCTTCTTTATGGATTTCTTGCTCTCAAGCTGATCCCTTGAAAGACCTTGGAGACCTTCACTTCTTCCTTGGGATAGAAGTTACTCAACTACCTACTGGAGTGTTCTTGTCTCAATCAAAATATGCACAAGGAATCTTAGACAAAGCAAAGATGATGGAGGCTTCTCAACTCAGCACACCCATGGCGGTCACAACCACCACATCAACTAATGACAATAATTTAGTGGATGCAACTGAAAATAGAAGTATAGTGGGATCATTACTATACCTAACTCTCATTAGACCAGATACAGGTTCGTGCATCTTGGGGGTGGGGGTTCGAACTTATGACCTTTTGAACAAAGATAAGTGTCTTAACCACTTGAGCTATATTCGATTTGACAAAAATTCTTAGTAGATTTAATTAGACACTAAATCTCTTTAACCTTCCAAGAAATATAAATGATTTTGCCTAAAATAATTTTGTCTCATCAGGTAAATCAATTATACCTAATATACCTAGTATATTGCACATTTATATAAATCCATTATATAACGATATATTGATATACCATCAATATATCTAATAATCTTATTGGGTAAAAAAAAAAAAGAACATTAGTTTTTAATAGAATGTGGAACCTAACAAATTTAAAACTACCAAACTTTCGTACCCATACAAAATATATATACAAAAGTATTCATATTTCCATAGAACTCATTTGGAGAGAAAAGTTTGATAAAAGAGATAACAACTAAAAGAAAATAACTAAAACCTAGCTACTTTTTTAATTTCTTTAGCTAAAAGCTAGTACGTTGTTGGCAGACTATATCGGGAGGAAGTTTTCACTTTGTGTTTTCTTGCAAACCATTTTGCATCATTAGATTCTACCGATGTTGCGTGGGGCAGAAATTTGGTACATAATAAACTGTAGAACTGAATTCCTTTTATATAAGAAACCAAATTGAAAAGTAAAATCCCATCTCATAAAACAATTCTCATTCTTCCCACTAATCAGCGACCATGGGCGACAACAACCATGCAGCAGCGAGTTGGCATTTCGTGAAACAAGTTGCAGAAGGGCGATGGTTTTCAGTATTCGCATCGTTTCTGATCATGATCGGCGCCGGTTCAACTTACCTCTTCGGAACATACTCAAAACTCTTGAAGACCCAATTCGATTACGACCAAACCCAAGTTAACACCTTGGGATTTGCCAAAGATCTCGGCTCCAACTTCGGAGTTTTCGCCGGACTTCTCGCCGAGGTGGCTCCCTCGTGGGTCCTTTTCCTCGTCGGCTCATCCCTCAACTTCTTCAGCTACTTCATGATTTGGCTCTCCGTCACCCGCCGCATTGCCAACCCCCAATTCTGGCACATGTGCCTCTACATTTGCTTGGCTGCAAATTCCCAGAATTTCGCCAACACTGCAGTCCTCGTCACGAGCGTCAAAAACTTTCCGGAGCGACGGGGGATCATCCTGGGGCTCCTCAAGGGCTTCGTCGGGATCGGAGGCGCCATCTTGACGCAGATGTATTTAGCCATTTACGGCCACGAAAACCAGGCCAGTGTGATTCTCCTTCTAGCGTGGTTCCCCTCGGTCATATCCTTTGTGTTTGTGCTCTCCATTCGAACCATCAAAGTCCGGAAACACCCGGAGGAGCTCAAAGTGTTTTACCATTTGCTTTATGTCTCCATAATTCTGGCGCTCTATATCTTGTTCTTGACCTTAACCCAAAAGCAGGCTGTTTTCTCCCACGCTGGCTACGTGGGTGGCGCCTCCGTGATTGTGTGCTTGTTGTGTCTCCCCCTTTTGATTGCCATTAGAGAAGAATTCATGCTGTTCAATCTCAACAAACAAAACCAGGACGGACACGTCGCTGTTTTGATCCATGACCAAAAACCTCCGCCCAAAAGGGCATTGGAGGAGGACGCTATAGACAGTGTTTCAATCAAGCCGGAAAGAGGAGATGACTTCACCATCTTTCAAGCTCTCCTCAGTAAAGACATGGCTCTTCTTTTCATAGCTACACTTTCAGGATGTGGCTCGTCTATTGCCGCCATTGACAATATAGGCCAAATCGCGGAGTCGCTTCAATACCCGCCTCACTCCATAGCAATTTTCGTCTCCTGGGTCTCCATATTCAATTTCTTCGGCCGCGTCTTCTCCGGCTTCATCTCCGAAACCCTTATGGTCAAATACAAATTACCTCGCCCTCTCATGTTCGCCTCCTCCTTTCTCCTTACCTGCATTGGCCAGCTCTTAATCGCCTTCCCATATCGCGGCTCAGTCTACGCCGCTTCCTTGATCATTGGTTTCGGGTTTGGAGCCCAAGTTCCATTGCTATTCGCCATAATATCTGAGCTCTTCGGCCTCAAACACTACTCAACGCTCTTCAACTGCGGCCAACTCGCAGTCCCGTTCGGGTCTTATATACTAAATGTGGATGTAATAGGCAAGTTGTACGATATGGAAGCCATAAGACAAGGTGGAAAGAAGACTGGCAAGGGACTAACTTGCACTGGAGCTAATTGCTTTAGTAATTCCTTCACAATTTTGGCAGCAGTGACTTTTTTTGGAGCTCTCTCTTCGCTTGTGCTGGCTTATAGGACTCGAGACTTTTACAAAGGAGAAACGTATAAGAAATATAGAGAAGATATGTGGATTCCTAAAGCAGATATGGAATTCTATTGTTTGGATAACAGGAAAGACCATGAAATCAAATAATTCATTATGACCCAATTATCTCTCCTTTTGTCTCCTTATTGTAATATAAAATATATAGTTATTGAAATAATTCTAGGGAAAACTTCAGAAACAAAGATTAGAAAGAAGCTAATAAGCACTCAATTTTATTTACTATTTCCACTAATCAAAGCTCAATATTTTGTCGAGGATATTGATTTGTTTTTTTGGTAAAGGAACCAAGTGCTAGACAATTGGGTAACCTTGCATTTTATTTTTTAAATTGGACCTCAAAATGAAAATTTCAAGAACTACTATTATTTCTCTATCTTTTTTTTCTAAAATTGACATCCTTCTATATAAATGTGTCCTTTGGTTCGTCATTCATATCTCCGAAATAATTTGAGAGGTTGAAAGATGTGTAAATAAAGTTCCACGTTAGTTAGGGAGATGACGATCTATAATATATAGATGAAGACAATTATTTTCATTAATATAATACCTTTGGTGTGAAACTACAAGTATAATCATAGGGCTAGAAAAACTCATTATTACATATCTCCTCTATATTAAAACTCACCACCTGTAGTATTTGTACTGGCCAATGAGAATATACTGATCCAACCCTTTATGATGATTCGGGAGCAATCTCTTATATATTAAATGACCTAGGTAACATCTCATCTACTGCACCTTATAGTGGACATGAGCGACTATGTAACAACCGAAAAAATATTTATATATTTAAATTATTATTATTTTTAGTTGTTTCTTTTATTTTTTCAAAGATAAACCTTTTTTGTTTTAAAAATTATTTTAAAGATAATTTGTTTTTAAAATTAAAATATATATATATATATATATATATATAAATAATTTTATTAAATCTTTATCTCTCCTTTTTAAAAGAGGATTGATTAGGCTTTGTTATAAAAACCCTAAACTCTAGGTTTCATTTTAGATCTAGTTTTCTCTCCAAGAGAAAAAGAAAAGAAGAAAGTTTTGATATTTTATCTCAAACATCGGTAAGTTTTTCTTCCTCATTGTTTTGGTTTTATTTTTCTTGATCTGTAGATCTTTAATTCAGTTTATTGGGAAAAGTTTTGAGGTCTTTGGCTTTTAGAATAAAAGATTTTAAGGACTTTTTGCCCTAAAAATTTTTCATTGTTTTTGGACTATTTTGAGACTTTTTTTTTTTTTTGCATAAAAAGTTTAGTATCCTATAAATTATAGTTGGTTCTTATGATTTTTACATGAAAAATTATATGTTTTTACCAAGTTTTAAATGTTTTCTATAAATTTTTCAGATCTGATTTTTCTATAAAAATTAGTAAATTGTTAATTGTTTTATTGAAAATTCTTGGAAATTTTATTTTATAAAACAGAAAATTTTCCTGATTTAAAATTCCCAAAATTGTAATTGATTATAAGGCTTTTAAACTAGTTTTGTTGAGAAACTTTTTGTAAATTTAGTCTGTATTAATTTCTACCGATTCTTGTAATTTTAAAGTTTGCTATTGTTGATTTTAGAGGCTTTTTAATCCAGTTTTCAGATGTGGTTTTGTAGCCCTAAATCCATATTTTACTTATATAGGATTTAAGGATTGATTTTGGATATTTGTTGTTTTTAGGCCTCTAAGTTGACAACTACAAGGAAGAAGTTAATTAGATTCGTAGGATTTGGGAAAAAGGTAAGTAATTTATCATATCATTTCGAAAACATTGTAAGTAATTTGTTATATCCTTTCGAAAAGTATTGTAAGTGATTTACTGTATCCCTTCGAAAAGTGTTGTAAGTGATTTACCATATCCCTTCAAAAAGTGTTGTAAGTGATTTACCATATCCCTTCGAAAAATATTGTAAGTGAAACTAAAATTTATTTTGGATTTGATATGAAGATTTGAAATTGATATCTTACATATGAAATTCAAGTTTTATTATGGATTTTAAAACTAATTTGGCAATTGATATTATGTTTATTTGCAAAGTATTTGAAGTATTCTTATATGATTGGATAAAGTTTTGTTTAGATTTATTTAAAGGTTTGAAATTGATATTTTGTTTATTTGTGAAAGATTTGAAATCATGTTTTGGAGGATTGATAAAATTTGTTTTAAATTGGTTCAATGTTTTGAATTAATTTAATATTGAAAGTAAGTATTTGCTTTGCATTTTATTTGAAAGATATTTTGATTGATTTGATACGGCTATCTGGATATGCCATGATTTTGTTTTCAGGAACGTTTTGCTTATTTGGGGTTGATAGATTTCTGTTCTGACTTATTTGTGGAAAGACACTTTTGTGGTTTGACATTCCTTGGGGATGAAAATTTATGTGTGTGTTATTCACTTACATGGCCTCACACTTAAGTAACCGTTCTGTTTATTCTGGTCAATATTATTTCGACAACTCTATTCTGGTCGATATTATTTCGACAACTCTATTCTGGTTGATATTCATTCGACAACTCTGATAGAAACTTCTGATTGATTGGTGTTACCGACAGGTAACATATTATGTAGGCTACCCAAATAATGCAACATTCCACTCTAATTTTGAAAGTATGAATGAATGTAACATTGTTTTGAATGTTTGAATGATTTAGTTATTCGAAAGTTTGAAAGTTATACCAAATGTTTTAGAAGAAATTTCGAAAGTCTTGATTGAAAGAAAGTTTGTTTTGAAGGATTTGAAGTTTGATCGAATGAAAGTTTGTTTCGAATGAATGAGAGATTGTTTTGAATCATTAAAAGTTCGTTTTGAATGAATGGAAGTTTGTTTTGATTGACAGGAAATTTTATCTTATTTGAAGACTTTGTTTCTGAAAATCTAGTTTGTTTTGAAAGTTTTGAAAATTGTATTAAATATTTTAAAGGATTTAAAAAGTTTTTATCTGTTCGTATTTTTGTTTACGGATGTTTTGAAAGGAAAATGAATTTCGAAATTCGATATGGAAATTGCTTATTCAGTATTTTTGTACTCATTTTTTCTATTTTCTAAATATTCTTCAGATGAAGGTTTGCATGATCGTTCTGGTAGAAGGTGAAGTTTAGCGTACTGGCATGAGTTTGAAAGTCATCTTCCTATTTAGTTAATTTAGTTTAGAAAAATTCTGTAAAGAAATTGCTTCCGCTCAATAATTTTAGTGTTTAAAGTTTCTTGAAAGTTAGGTTTTCGCATTTTGTCAGAATGACCGTATTAGAAAATACGGTTTGTTATAGACTATATGTTGGAGATGGTACTCCACATTACATATCACACACTGCACAACAACTTTACACACGAGAACAAACATCCTAGAGCTAAACAATGTACTTGTTGTACCAAAAATTAAGAAAAGCTTACTATGCATTAGTTCTTTAACTAAGATAATGAGTGTACCATTATGTTTAATGCTGGTGGATTTGTTGTGAAGAACCAGCAAGACAAGACCTTAGCTAAAGGATTCAAGAAGGCAGGATTTTATGCCCGGGAGAATTACAAACCAAACAATATTTTTCAAGCATTTTCTACTCTACTACATACAATAAAGCTACTTACACTATTTCGCACAAACGAATGGGTCACATGAACGACAAGTTCTTAAAAATTTTACAAAATAATAATCTTATCGAGTTATCTTAGCTGGAAAAAGGAAGAAAATGTGTGTGAGAGTTGTCAATTAAGCAAAAGTTGTAAGGTACCTTTTTAAGGTAATGAAAAATAAAGTTTACATCCGCTTGATAAGATCCATTATGATTTTAAATATTGTCTGCTTTGGGCATAACCCTCATGGCCTTGTTTTTTGTTTCACCCAAAAAATCTCATACCATATATCATGGATCAATCCCTTCCCTAACCAATGTAGGACTTTGGTTGCATTATCCTTACAAACCTAACACCCCTATTCTGTTATGTCATAAGTTTAAGTATTATGTTAATTTTGTGGACGACTACTTTAGATATATTTGGTTCTATCCATTAAAGAACAAAATCAGACTTATTCTCTTCTTTTGTAACATGTCAAACGCTCGTGGAAAATCAATTTGACAGGAAAATAAACGAATTACAAAATGATGGTGGAGGAGAGTTTCAATCCAAAACATTCAAACTACTCTTTGGTTTTACTTTATCAATCTCATATACCTCTCAAGCATTGGGTTGATAGTTTTTATATTGTTTTCATAATCAACCATATATCATCCCCTTTCATGAAATTGTAGGGCAAGCAACCTAACTATAATAACATTAGAGTTTTTGATTGCATATATTTTCCATATCTAAGAAACGTAACAAAGGACAAGTTGTCAAAAAGAACCTACCCATGTGTGTTCATACTTCATAGGTTATATTCCAGCACATAAAGGATATAGATTCATAGACCCATGCTAGAATAAAGTATATATCTCTAGACATGTGAAATTTGATGAAGAATCATTTCTCTTTTGAAGAAGTTCAAAACCAACCAAACTTGAGATAAGAAGCAAACCATACCTGTAAAGAAGAATAAAATCGATGTCCCTAAAATCAAGCTCTTTATCTGAAAATCAAGCTGACAAATCTCCTACTCTTCCTGTCATACCATTATCATCTCAAGCAGTCAATTGAGACCAAAATTCTACTAAGAAGAAATAAAACCCCGAGCTCATTGGGGAAATTTTCATTCAAATTCAGCAACCTCCAATCTCAGTAATTGCTGCTTACCTTCTATAAAATTGTATGGTCAATTATCTTCAACAATGACCATACAATCAGCCATTTTTTTTCTTTCTTTCTTTCTTTCTTTCTTTCTGTTAGTTTCCTTTGCTTTCTTGTGTAATTAGGATCAATCAATCAGAAGATTGATTGTTGCTATTATCCTTGATTTTTCCTTATATGTTTACCTTCGTGTAAGTCTATATGTAGAAGAAGTCTCCACAGGTTTGTTTAAGGGATTGAGTTTCTACAAATAAATAATATACAAGAATTTTCATGGCATCAGAGAATTACACGAAGTGTGTGAAGGATCCTTACAGAAATTTTTATTGATTATTGTTCAAAACTCATAGCCTGAGTCAGCCCTCACAATTCAGTCATTCCATCAATGCTCTAGCTTGATTTATCTCAAGTTAAGCTCCACAAATTATTTGTTATGGAAATCACAAGTTATTCCTCTTGCCTTGGGTTAGAACATCATCTAACCAGCAGTGATGGAATGACGGAACTCTACTCCAAATCCTATCTACTTGAAGCATAAATCTATGACAAATAAGGGAACTTTGCTCCAAATCCTATCTACTTGACTTGGCTCAACAATGATGGTCTTTTAACTTCATGGTCACTTGGAATCATCTATGAGGATGTTATAGCTTATGATTGAAGGATTGGAGATTGCTCATTAGGCATGAAACTCACTTGAAGACAATCAATTACCAACAAAAGTGAAATACATGTCAATGAGGCCCTACAATGTTTGAAGAAAGGAAAATTGCCTTTAGATGAATATATCAAACATTTTAAGGCTCTAAGTGACAAATTTGCTGCTATGAAGAAACCCCTTGATGACTTAGAAAAAGTCTTCACTCTAGCTCATAGATTGGGAAGCAACTACAAAGATTTTAGAACTGCTATGCTGTCCAAAGCTCTTTACCCAACATTTAATCAATTGTCTTAGCATTAAAGGCTCAGGAGTGGAGGATTATTTTTGAGGTTGAAGAAGAAAAACTAACAACTCTCCATCACAACGAAGCCTTTTATAACAAAAGAGGAAGAAGAAAGGATAGAAGAAGATATTTTACATCAAGAGGGTGGAGTCTTCAGGTTAGTAGAAACCAAAATCCTCTGACAAAACCGTTGGAGAGAATGTCACATCTTACAAAAATCATCACCAATAATCAATCAAGGTAAGTCCACTATCTGTCAAATTTGTGGGAAAGCTAATCACACTGCCTTGAACTGTTGGAATAGGTTTTATCATACCTATTTATCGCAGAAGATGTTCCAAAGGCACTTACTGCTATGACACTAGAAGAGGAAAATGATCCTATGTTATATGCAAATTCGAGCGCAACCTCGCATGTGGTAAATAATTCAGGTATGATCTCCTCAACTCAACCTTATAAAGGAACTGAAAAGTTATATGTCGGAAATGGAGAAGGATTGCAAATTACACATATTGATGAAGGAAATATTCCTACCAAACATAGCTCATTGAAATTGAAAAATGTGGTTGTAGTGCTCAACATCAAGAAAAATCTACTTTTTGTGAGTTACCTCTAGTAATAATTGTATAATAGCATTTTCTGCAAATGATTTTGTTATAAAGAACCAATAGGAGAAAATCATTGCTAGAGGAGTTAAAGAAAGAGGCACTCTATGTGGTTGAAGAGACTGCATTTCAATCTGCTGCCTATATATTCTGTTTTTGTTGGACACAACAAGGTCATTTACTCAATATGACATACTTAGTTTGGATGGAATCAAATTATTTGTATTCCAATATATGGATGATAAGAAATACATGGCCTTCTTATATAGAAGATATGCTCAAACATAAATGGAAATAAAGATAAAATAATAATTAATATTGACAACTAATTTACAGCTAATATTTACAAATAATAAACCAACACTCCCCCTCAAGCTGGTTGAAAGATATCTTCCATTGCCAGCTTGTCAACCATCTTGTCAAATTGTACTTTCGGTAGTCCTTTTGTC